TTGTTGTTGTTGTTATTGTTGTTGTTGTTATTGTTGTTCCTGTTATTGTTGTTGCTATTATTGTTGTTGCTTTTGTTGTTGTTGTTTTTTAATTTTTAAATACATTTCTCATATGAATGCTATTAATGCGATAATGCGCATTATTATTCATTTTAATTCATTTGTTTGTTCTGCTAAAATGTGTTCTTTCGCAAAAGAATTTATTTTCAAACTTTTTCTTTCCTTTTTTTTTATTACAGATGTCAATAAATGATAAGACAGATGTTGGACCAACTATAGCAAATTCAAGTGATAATGAACAAAAGGATGGTGTACCTCGGAATGTATCAGTGAATCGCTTTCAGGTATTTATTAAAATCAAAATTTTCGTTTATTTATTGTCTAATATTTCTAAAACTTTTTCATTAGTCTGATCAAATTTATAATAATTTTAAGATTTAAATATAGAAATTTTTATCATTACGTTAAGGAGAGCGTAAAGTAATTAAAAGTTTGAGTTTAGATTAGAAAAATAAAACGTTGAGGAAAAAATTGATTGATAAAAAATTTGCTCAAATTTATAACCAAAAAAAAAACCCAAATAACAACTGTTCCTTATTTAAATATTTTCAGCATAAAATATTTCGGAATAGCTAATCTTATCTGATCTTTTTTTTTTTTAAAAAATATATTTGAAATCATAATCTTACGCTTTTCTCTAATTCCTTTCCATTTTGGCCATTCGTCAAATCTTTTTAAATGAAATGCGAAATGTTATTGAATGATATTAGTGAGTCAGTGAATCACAATTAATTGAAATTTCTCTTTTTTATACATTATCTCATTTCAAATTTCTAATATAATTAAAAATTTTTTTACATACAGCCAAATTTTCTTTTCCTTCATGTATAACCAAATTTTTTTCCTCATTTATTTATCAAAAAAAAAATCAAAAATTTTTTTTTTCTTTCATTTATATATAATCAAATTTTCGAAAGCTTTCTAACATTTTCTATCATTCTGAAATTATTTTTATCTTCATTGAGGAAATACAATATTATTTGATTATATATAGTTGAAAGAAAAAAAAAACTTTATTGTATATATAAGAAGAAAAAAATTTGGTTTTTAGAATGGTTAAAGCCTAGTGATAATAACTCATTTTTCAGGTATCAAAGCTTAATTTAAATTCAAATGATTCGACATCAGTAGCGGTGGAAACAGGAAGCGCCCAATCTAATAAGGTAAAAATACAAAAAGCAGCCAGTGAACCACCATTTTCACTTCCAACACTGATTGTTACAGAAAGAAAAATTAGCGGAACGGGTCGATTTGAGGTAAAAATTTATTCGTTGCAAAATTTTTAAAAAATTTTTCACAATAATCCATAAACGCATGATAGGCAATTATGTACGATCAGGGGAATGATTTTAGCATCATAATTTCTAGCAAAAACAATACATCTATCTTATCATTTTTATTATCACACTAAGTTTTATTTTTTGAAAAACAATAAAAAGAGTAGCATTAAATTATTTCGCTTTTAATTGAATTAAAATTATGCAACAACATAATTGAACTTATTGATGGCTGAGATAAAAGAAAATCAAAAACTTTGAATTAGTAAAAGCATATAAATAGCTTAACAAAAATTGATCTTCAGTAATTATCGATCAAATAAACTGTGTCATAATTTATTTCCATTTCTAATTTTTTATCATCATCGTTTCTTCCTTTTTTCTTTTTTATTTAAAAAAAAAATATTTCACATTCATCCATATTTTCAATCATCTTATTTTTTATAAATTTATGCATTTTTAATTATCTGCATATTTTTTATAATAAAATCAAGTCGTTTTTTGCTATCTCCTCACAATGACAAAATTTCAAATATTTTATCTCATTCCAAAAAATTTCTGAAATTGTTGTAAGATTGAATGCAGTATTAGCATAGCTGTTACTGTGATTTGGAGAATAAAGAATAAATCCTGTGATATGATAGTAATATCATATTATATACTGTTTCAGATTCAAGTACGAATTTTTAACTTTCTTCCAAAAAATTTCGTTTTTCTCGGAAAAAAAATCGGATATTCTGAAGCTCAATTTTAGATTTCATCGAGTTATTGTATGAAAATTTTTATCCGCTATTAAATTGGCAGTAATAAAAGCTGAAAATAGCACATAGCTTGTGAGATGAATAGTTCAAATAATTTCTTTCATTTTTAGAAAAAAATTTTTTTCAATTTTTAATCCGCTAGTAAAATGCTTTTTGGCATAAAACTTTGCAACAATTTATTATCCGTTACGAATTACAGTCAGACGGTTCAAATATTTTGAAAAAAAATTTCTTGTTACTAAAATTGATATTCATGTCAATCTATAAGAAATTTACATTAGTTTTAAAATTTCAAATAGCTTAATTAATCTACTCAAAAAAATGAAACATTCCAAAAAATAAAATTGAATGTAATAATCATATTCACATTTCACTAATTCTAGAAGATTCAGTATTAAAAAAAAATTGCTATTTGCTCGTATTCCATTCATTTTCTACTTCTCAACATTCAACAATAATTTCATTAGTTGACATTTATTTTATAAAGAAACATTATTTTTAATTAAATTTACTCGCTTCATAACATTTGTGTCACAAAAATTTACAAATATACACAATCACACGCATACACACACACACACATACACACACATACACATATACACATACACATAAACGTACACACTTATGAAAGTGTACATGCATTCTCAATTGTACATGCACATGCACTGCGCATGCTTACATATTGATAAGCGCAAAAATATTAATTGAACACATTGATCATCTGTTTAAACATATTAACAAAATAATAAATGTTTTTTGATGTCTCTCTGTCTCTCTCTCACTCTCTCTTCCCCTCTTCCCTCCTCACCTCTCTCTCTCTCTCTCTCTCTCTCCATATTTATCATCATGCGACTCGTTTTGTTTGCCAATTTTTTTGACTTCAATATTTTCTCAATTTTATTAATTTGGAATAAAAGTGAAAAAAAAAAATAGAACGAAAAATGATGGGAAATCAGTAGACAATAATTTCGATCCATGAGCCTTATAAACTTTTGGCTAATTACAAATGTCATTTTTTTAATATAACGTTTGATGTTAATTTTTCATAAAATTTTTTTGATTTCTATATTTACTAAATTATCGTGTAAGATTAACGCTTAACATTATAAAGCTGACTTCATCACAATTGTTAAATTTAGATTAACGATTCAAACCGATAAGAAAATTTCGATACATTAAATGTATTAAATAATACCAGAATTAATTTTTACTATTAAATTTCTTTACAAGTAAAAAAATTTCATATGCATGTGCCAACCAATCAATATATCAATTAGTGATTAATTGATTATAAATTTTTCTGAACTTAAATTCCATATTAAATACGATTTAATATGATTGAAATTGGAAAAAAAAAGAAATCGACTGAGAAAACCTAAGTGATATGCAAGAAAAGAAGAAATGATACCTGTTTCCTTATTAATCGAAAATATATTCTAATTTAAGTTAAAATTTCAATTTTGCAATTATGGGTAAGTGAATTCCATAATTAACACAATGCTGTTTATTGTGTGCTATTTTTCAAAAATATTTTCTCGTTTGAGAATTTTTGAAATTTCCGGACTTACTCATTTATCGCAAGTAATTATTACTCATTTCCCATTTGATAGCATTAGTCAATTAATTTTCTCTCTTATACTATTAATGAAAATTTTAATCAAATCTATTTGAATTTAATTGAGCATAAGGCAATATTTTACATTACGTTAATGTTCAAAAGAAATTATTGTATTTGTAAATTAAGAATTATCATTTTTGTGCAATTTTATCAATTTTATAGCTGAAATTATAATAAAAAAAAACTGCTGTTTTTTGTAGTGCACACATTGCCAAATTTTGATAATTTTTATTTTAACTCAAATAAAAAAATTCATTTTTTTTCTCCTTGTAAATTTCTTTTTTTTTTATTTTTATTGATAATGTGCAATAATTATTTTTCTAAAAATTCAACAATATCAAGAATATTGTTATGGTGAAAAATTGAATCTTATGGAAAAAAAGTGAAAAAAAGCATTCTCTTTCTCTGTTATTCAAAAATTTTCATTTCTTTTTTGTATGCATTTAAAGCGATGATGCTTTTTTTATTAGCATATTTTTCCATGCCTTTCGCATTTTTTCCCATCCATTTTTTTTTGCTATATTTTTATATTTTTTCAAAATGGGAAAGGTTTACTTTACTAACACATGTCAAACGATAGATCTGTCAATGGGCAGATTTTTGTTTTTTTTTTTCTTCATTCGTTTGAATTTTTTATTGTTATTTCTCTCTTTCCCACTTTCTCTCTCTCTTACTTTTTCAAAATTTGCTTATAATTATAATTATTGGAATCAAAGCATTATTCAGAGGTTATTATATATGTAAAAGGGCCTATGGTACACAATTTATGCGAGCGTTACTGTTCTGTAGACGTTTTGTTATTTTCATTTTTTTTTTCAATTTTTGGGAAATTAATTAAATGTAAAAAATTGCCAAATTCGAAGTGAGTAAAAATCTATTTGATTGTTTATTTAAATTATGCAAAAAACGCGTTTAAGCATAATAACTTTATTTATTGCAATAAAATTGAATTATTAATATATGCTCAAGTAATTATTTATTTGTTTATTAAAAAAAAATCTTATTTTGAAGCGGTTAAAGCAATGTGTTTTAGTTTCAGTTTTTTTCTTCCTTCTTCAAATATAAAAATTTTCGTTGCTTAAATGATTTATGAGAAATTGTAAAATTTTGATTTTAAATTGAAACACATTCAGTTTAATGTTCTCTAATAATTGCATTTTATCTTTCAATAAATTTTCTTTCATTTTTTATAAATTGATACGTGAAAAAAGTTCTTACATTTTTCTTCAGTTCGACGTCGTAATTCTATGCTTTTAAATATTTAACGAAAGGTTAGATGTAATTTTTACGATATAAGAAGCTGTTAATGATTTCATATACATTTAATGTTTATCAATTTAATTACTAAAAATATTGGTTGAATTCCATTCATCTTTCATTAATGCGAAGTAAAAATTTTTTGTCATTTTTTTTTTTTGATTATTAAACTTTTTGCATACCATATAAAATGCCTTCAATGATGAAATAAATGGAAGGATTATGAAATAAGAACGATTAAATTAAAAAAAAAAAAAAAACTATTAAATCAGTTGAAAAAAGACTGACAATAAAGAGTGAAAATTTTTCCTCATTATCATTTCTCTCAAAATATTTGAATTTTTCAAAAAGTTTAATCAATCTTTTAGATATCATCGAATACAGATTGTGCTACTAAAATGTTATCTGAAATGATAGAAAAAGATTCTCAACCGGTAAAGAGTACAGGTAGAAATGCAAATAAGCATAGTGGTGCTGTTGCTGAAATATCACCATCAAGCACCAATGGAACCGAACGAACTGTACGATTTTCGGTGGAAAATGAAGCAGAAGAACGGCAACATTCTACTGAAGCAGATGAGCAGCATAATGTAACGTTTAATTTGAAAAGTTGGCGGTTAGTATTTCTTTCTTTCTTTCTTTTCATTCCTAATTTTATCAAATCGATTTTGTTATGTGAATATTGAAAAAAATTTATTAACTTTTAAAAAAAGAAAAAAAAAAAGCTATTAATTTTGTTATGATATGTAATTTTTAGAAATTTCATGGATGTATTAAATTTGAATGTTATTTTTTTGACCAAAAGTTTTATTGATTATTAAAAAAAAAAATTTTTTTTTTTAAAATTAATTTCAGTGTATTTTAGGAATATGCAAACAATTGATCATCCACCGATTATTGATTTCTACCGTAATTCTGTCGATGAGGGTAGCGGTGTAACATCACGACCATCGATGAAACAATTGATACATGGAGAGAATGCTCAGGATACTGTAATTGGAATTGATGAATTTAAGGTTAGCTGTAAATGTGGGAATATTTTTCTACGGATAAATTCTATCTCTACTATTGTAAAAATAAACAATTAATTAACCATTTTTAAAATTAATAATTTTTTTATGATTTAACTTTATTCATGTTATCATTCAATAAAAGGATTTAATGAAAGAATTGTATCAGTTATGTTGTAATTACTGATTTAAAGATAAATTTTACTTGTAATAATTATAAACTTTAATTCATAATAATTATATCAACAATTACGTAATGAGAAGTAATAATAATTTTTAGTTAATATTATAAGTATATCTTTTTATATAATTTTAATTTATTAATGAGTTTTAGATTTAAAAACTATAAGAGAATAATTTGAAATGCACTTCTGACCAGTAAATATGGGATAATTTAAATTGTAAAATTCAACTTTTACATTTGTTAAATTCTGAATTTAAATTAGCAGTGATTATTGTTATGAAAAAAAATTTTTTTTAGAAAGATACGGATGATATAATAAATGGAGAAAGAGAGACAACAGCAAAACTTAGTAAATTTGAGCCTCCGGCACCTGTTGCACGAACTAAATTCGGTTGGATTCAAGGTGTTTTTGTACGTTGCATATTGAATATTTTCGGTGTGATGCTCTATTTACGTATCAGTTGGGTTGCCGGACAAGCCGGAATCGGTAAGTTGTAATTGTTCGTTTATGTTCACACAAATCAGTCGAGAGTTTCTTGATACAATCAATAAAAATACTCTCGCGTCGAATGAACAAATCAGATTCCATTGTTTGTTTTTTAAAAAAAAAAATCTGATATATTTATGATCAATAAATCCATCTATCAAAGTAATTCTGTTGAAAAGAAAAAATTGCTGAATATTTTTGCTTAATAATTTTATTAGTGTTCACACTCTGGACCTTGTTAAATTGTTTGAAAATTTAAAAATTTACATATGAGATTTGCAAATTTCCCGATTATAATCATTGCTATTAGTGCAAATATTTTTTTTTGCACTTTCAGCAAATTTAACAGCAGAATTTTCGTCTCCGGTTTTCGATTTCCGTTTATATTTTATTAGTTATTTGTAGATATTCCTATCAATAATCTTTTGAATTTTTCAATTACAAATGATTGAATTTATTAATTTTAGCATTGGGATGCGCAGTTGTACTGCTTGCTTCTTTGGTAACATTTATCACCGCACTATCAACATGTGCTATTTGTACAAACGGTGATGTAAAAGGTGGTGGTGCTTATTTTTTGGTTGGTTATTTGTAAAACCTTTTTTTTCTCCAACAATAAATTCTTCAAATTTGAATGTTAAACAGTTGGATGATTGTTATTCAAATTTAGATTCTAGTATGATCTTAAAATATCAGTTACCTCACTTCCCTGTAGCTCTCTTTGCTCCTCCTTTGTTTTTTTTTTCCGGAAAGATAAGTGCAAAAATCATCCAAATGACTCAGTTTATTTCATCTCCTAATTGTAATATAAATTTGTACAGATTTGGAAATTAAGAAAAAAAAAGAAGGTGAAAATTTTCTTAGTTAAATTTTAGATCAGTCGTTCATTGGGTCCAGAATTTGGTGGTTCGATTGGTTTGATATTTTCGGTAGCAAATGCGGTTGGTGCAGCAATGTACGTTGTTGGATTTGCTGAAACGGTACGAGATTTGCTGAAAGAAAATAATTATACATTTATCGATGGTGAAATGAACGATGTACGAGTAATTGGTATTGGTATGTATATAGAAAATTTCAATTAATTTAATTATTTCATTTATTATTATGATTTATTCATAATCAGATTAATTCTTCCATATTGCTTATATCTAAATTAAAATTTAGACTAAATTGATATGAAAGGACAGAACAAATGTGTTAGGTACTGTATAGTTATCAAAAAAATAAATTGCATCTCACAAGATGTACCGCAGAATTTGCTATGAGTATGAAGTATATCGGAGAATATGTTAAAGAAGTTAGTTGAAATTTCTAAAGGAAAAAAATTTTAATTTCATTAAAATTATTTTAAATTATTAGATACATGAATAAAATCACTCTTATTTAATATATCATTACTTTTTTCACTTTCAATTCTTTGCTGATCAATAATTTAATCATTTCCAACAGCATATTAGAACTTTTGGTTTGTTTCAAACTTTTCATTTCAATGTACTTCGTAACTTTTAACACTTGTATACCGTGTTTGAGTTGAATTTCATAGTAAATGAAAATTTTCCTAATCACTAATTAATTATTAAATTCATTCAGAAATGAAGTGTAATAAATGAAAAGTGCTTTTTTAACGATATAGCGAATTAATCGATTATCCTTTAATGTAAAATATTCGCCGGGATGATTTAAGCGTAAGACAAAAAAAAAAAATATTTGCTTCAAAAATTATCTAAATATTTTCAAATTGCAGTTTCCTGTTGCATATTAATGGCAATTGTATTTATTGGAACCGGTTTTGAAAGTAAAATGCAAATTGGTTTACTTATTATTTTAATATTATCCATTATCGATTATTTTGTTGGAACTTTTATACCAGTTTCGGAGAATCAATTATATCGTGGTATTACAGGCTATAGTTGTACGTTTTATCATATGCATTACTTACAATATGCGCTTTTATTTTTTTTTTTTAAACGATGCAATATAATTTATAAATATCACGATAATATACAGATATGCATAAAAATTATGCGATAAATAAACTTTCTGAATCTATCCAC